AAAAAAAGAAAGATAAATTGGAACTTTACCTGACCCATATACAAAAATTAACTCAAAATAGATCAAAGACTTAAATGTAAGAGTTAAAACTATAAAACTCAAAAGAAAACATAGGGGAAAAGCTTTAAGACATTGGATTAGGCAATGATTTCTTGGATATGACACCAAAGTACAAGCAACCAAAGGAAAAATTGACAAGTTGGCATTCATTAAAATTAAAGACTTGTGTAGCAAGAGACACTGCCAAAAGAGTGAAAATGCAACCCATGGAATGGGAGAAAATATTTGTAAATCATATAACTGATGAGAGATTGGTATCCTTTATATACAAAGAGCTTCTACAACTTACTAGGAAGAACAAAAACCAAAACCAAAAACAACATAACCCAATTTAAAAAATGGACAACTAATTCGAATAGGCATTTCTCCAAAGTAAATATCTAAATGGCCAATAAGCACATGAAAAGGTGCTCAACATTACTAGACATTAGGAAAATAAAAGTCAAAAACATAATGAGATACCACTTTACATATATTTGGATGACTACTATCAAAAAAAAGGAGAGAGAGAGAGAGAGAGAGAGAGAGAGAGAGGGAGAAGTGTTGGCAAGAATGTGGACAAATCGAAACTCGTGTGCATTGTTGGCGGGAATGCAAAATGATGCAGCCACTGTGGAAAATGGTATGGCAATTCCTCAAAAAAATCAATTTAAAATTACCTTACTATGCAGCAATTCCACTTTGGGATATACCCCAAAGAATGAAAGCAGAGACTCAAAGATATATTTGTATACCCATGTTCATAGCAGCATTAATTACAATAGCCAAAAGGTGGAAGAAACCCAAATGTCCATTGATGAATGAATGGATAAACAAAATGTGGTATATACGTGCAAAGGAAAATTTGATATAAGCTACAACTTAGAAGAACCTTGAAAACATTATGCTAAATGAAATAAGACAGTCACATAAGGACAAATATATGTTTCTTCTTGTATGATGTGATAAGTATTAAAGAAAAGGAAAGTAGGATGGTGGTAACCAGGAGCTGGGGGAGGAGAGGGAATGGAAAGTTATCCCTTACTGGATTACAAAGTTGGGGAAGATGAAAACGTTCTGGAGATGGATCATGGTGATGATTGCATAACAATATGAATGTGTTTAATGCCACAGAAGTGCACACTTAAAAATGGTTACAATGGTAAATTTTATGTTATGTATATTTTACCACAGTAAAAAGAAATATTGAACTTCCTATGAAATTATATTTTGATTTACAGCTAAAATTGGGTAATGGATGCTGTGCTAAGCTCCCAGATTCTACTTTCAGGACTGGGTCATAATCGCCCAGATGCTAGGAGGTGCTCAGCTCTTAGTCTCCAAAAACTGCCCTTGGCTGAAGAGAGCTGCCTTGGGGTCAGGTTTCATTCCCAGGGCAGCCTAAACCCGGTGGCTCTTCAATATGAGGTGATTGCAACCAGTTCACGTCTCCCAAGGGGCTGACCCAGTCTTTGTTGTGCCCACACTGCAGCCCAACTTCTTTCCAACCTTTAAAAACTTCTTGAAAAATAAGAGAAAGAAGTAAAGGAAGGAAGGAAGGAAGGAAGGAAAAGGAAAGAAGGAGGAAGGGAGAAGGAAGGATGAGAAAACAGCACCTCTTTCTCGATTTGTTTCTTCCACCTACTAGAAAAACTGTCACCACAAGGATTTAAGTATTTGATGAGGAATTCATTCAAAAGGCACCTTCCAGTCGTGCAGTGCACAACCCGCACAAAGAAGCAGTGGTTCTATGCTGACCCCGTCTCCTGCCTCTGCCTTGGGGATCCCAGCACCATTCAGCAGGATCTGCTGATGAGTGTCCACTTACCCCTAACCAGCACCCGAGCAAGCCTTGACTCAGAAGACAAACTTGTCCATTTCCTCAGCCCCACCGCACAGTAGAACTTGGCAGTCATTTCTGGCGTCAACCAGATCTGGGATATGAGAGGCTAGGAGGGAGTTCTGAGGGCTCCCTAGAGGCTTTCACTCTTTAGCTCTGTGGTCTTAATATTACCTTCTGGTCCTCACACTTCCCTGGATCGTCCTCAGTCTTTGGGCAGGTGTCCGTATTCCCAGTCTCTCCTGTCTCTTGCTTTGATGGATCTTAGGCTGCTGTGTTTTCCTGAATGCATTTTAATTATGTCAAATGTGAAGTAAAGTTCCTGGGATATCTGTGAGCTCTGGGATCAGGCCTGGGTCTCCTTTTCAACACCCAGAAAAGAAACCTTAAATGGTTCATTTTTCAAGTAGTCTAAATTAGACCATAATGTTTTGGTGGTGAGGAGTGGGGTCTTAGCTACTGATTTAATTAACTTTATAACTTAACAACAAAATCCTCATATTGAAAGAGAGGAGAAAAACAAAACCTTTCACTATCACACTGCTCCTCAAAAGAGTGGTCCATCCCCCCTTCTCTCCTTCCTGGACAAGCTACTCCTGGGACAATGGTCTTCCTTCCCCACCGGTCCATGGGAGGCTGCTCTCTCAGAGACCACTACTGGCTTTCCAATGGTCAAATTCAGGAAACTTGCAAGTCATCATTTTATTTGACCATTTCACAACTTTCTTCTCCTTTTGATTTGGTCATTATAATGTTTTAATTCTCTTTCCATGTCTCTGACTGCATTTTCCCTACTTCTTTGGCAATTTCTTCTGCCTAGAGGTTAAACATTGATGTTCTCTGGGGTCTCCTCTATCTGCCTGTCTTCTGCACATCTCCACTTGGATGTCCCTAGAACATCTCAGAATTAGTGTGTCCAGAGAAGGAGAGAGGGAGAGAGAAAAGAAGTTCAGTAATGCGGAAGTGAGATAGGATTTCCACACCTGCCTACATTGAAGAGCTAAAAATAGGAACATTTGGGGAGAAAAATAGTGAGAAATGTTTTAATTCTACTATAAGACATGAGCTATGAGAATGGAGGTTTGCAGAGAAAGTTGTGTTTCTCACTCAATAAAAGTTCAGAATAGGTTAGAAAAAATTATAAATATTTTGGGTATCCCAGACTTCATTTTTTCCCTTTCCCCTCAAGCCTGTTCTCTATATTTTTCCCTGTATCAAAACCTCTTCTTTAGGGCAGAGTCTAATACTTATCCACGTAAGTTTAATATGGTAATTTTACACATTAGCATAAGCTCATATCTGAAGTCAAAGATGCTTAAATGCAGCAACCATTAAAAAAAAAATCTATATAACCCAGTGTACCCAGCACAGGGCTAAACATAATAATATTCAATAAATATTTATTAAAAGGTGTTAAAAAGCATTATTTATATTATCAAACTCTGTAAACAACCTAAATATCCAACAATGGAGAAGCATAACCATGATATGGAGAAATGTTACATAACTATAAAAAGATTTCAAAACCCTTTTTACTGCCCTGGGGAAATGCTTATAATAAAATGTCAAGGAAAATACACAGGATTCAAGTTTCTACTACTGTCAATTAAAAAATAATATGCATATACAAAAGACTGAGAAAATATGTGGGTATCTCTGGAATCTTCTATCCAAAATGCAGCTGTATTTGGTATTTAGTTCCTTCTTTCTACTTTTTTGTATTTATGAATTACTTATAATTGGTATGAGCTAACTGTTACAAAAGTAAGCATTGTGGAAGATTGATTTGCAAGAAGAACTTTTCGGGGTTGTGGAAGTCACAGTGTGCTGTGTGCCCTGCTGGGTCTGGTACTTGGAGAGGAGATGCCAGCCGCTCCAGCTGGCCAGCAGAAGATGGGTTTTAAAGAGGGCACAGGAGTGGAGGGCCTGCCCTTTAAAGAAAAGGTGAGATCAACCAAAGGACTTATATGCAAGCATATAGGCCTAACCAATGGACACGGACAACAGGGGGGTGGGGGCATGAGCGGGGGGATAGGGGGTAACGTGGGGATAAGGACACATATGTAATATCTTAAACAATAAAAAATATATAATTATAAAAAAAGAAGAAAAGAAAAGGTGAGTATGCGGGGATGTTGATGCATTGGTGCTTGGCACCTGGGCAGCCTTCCCCTAGGAGGGCTCCCCTGTGCTGGGCTAGCAGGCTGTCCAGGCCTGTACAAAGGAGCTCCTGATTCCCCCTCACCTTTTGTTCCGTAAACAGTCAAGGCTTGCTCAGGTTCTGGAACATGTTTATTTTCACCCTGCTTCCCCATCCTCTTCTGTCCAAAACGCAGCTGTAAGAGGAATTGAACCCTTTGTGTTGGTGCCTCAGTGATACTCTACATTAATATCTTCAAGAATTGAGGTTGTGTGTCCTTGCAAGAAAATACTAGTTACCACCGTGCCTACACCATAAAACCTACACAACCAGGACTTGGGGATCTTCATGAAGAGACCACAGATTTCAACCTTCATAAACTGTTTCCTTCAGTTATTTCTGGAAATTCCTTCTAAACATCTGCATTTGCTTCTAACTTAAATTGCTTCCCACCTCTTTCCCCTGAACTCTGTTGCTTCCCTGTGGGAGAGCTAACTTCATGGCCAGTATAAACAACAAACAAACAAAACCCTGCCACAGCAATCCCTAGCCCTCTCCTAATTTCTAATTTCCTGTACCTAAAAAAAAAAAAAAATGCAATCCTAGACTTTCCTTGTGTTTCAAGGATCTTAGGATCTCTAACGGAGAGATTAAAAAACTTTGAAAACCTAACGACACCTACGATTTTGTTTTTATTATTTGCTAGTTATTAAAATATCCAGCCTCCTGACTAGGGAAGGCTGGTGGCAGGAGGGACCGGAGGCGTGGGGGAGAAGTGTGGAAAAAAGAAATCCCAGCTCTGCCTATAGGACTGTGCGTGAAAGAGCCCGCTTCCTCGGGCAGGCTGCTCCAGGCCGCGTTTTGCAGGCGGCCGCATCTGCCTCCCGGGTCTCTTACCTCCTTGATGTTCGGCACTATTTGTGGCCAGCGTGGTGGAAGGACACAGTGAGGTTCTCACCCCCGCCCTCCGCCCCGCGCTCCCATCCCAAGTTCCATCAAAGCGAACCCGGGCCAGCGCAAGGATCTTCGAGTTGCGAGTGTGCTGAGGCTGGGACTGTCACTCATTCTCCCCTCAGCGCGTGAACGCAGCTCGGCATCCGCTGGCAGGAAACAATTCTGCAAAAATAATCATACTCAGCCTGGCAATTGTCTGCCTCTAGGTCTGTTGCTCTAACGCCGTCCACACTCGCTGCAAGGAGCCGGGGCACAGAATTTACCGCGGCAAGAACACCCTTCCCAGCCAGCAGATTACAATGCTGCAAACTAAGGATCTCATCTGGACTTTGTTTTTCCTGGGAACTGCAGGTACATTTCAAAAAAATTCTTCTCCTTAAATCCGATTTGATCATTGCCTTCATCTCCCTACTCCTCTCCCGAGGGACACTGTTATTTCGGGTGATTTTACGGAGAATGCTAAGGGCGCTCATTTTCGTGGAGCTGAGGAAGGAGCGCATCGCCCTGGCTGTCCTGCCGAACCCGCGCCCTCTCGGGTTGCGGTGGACGCGGGCTGCCTCCCCGCGCAGCGAGCGCCCTGCGCCCCTCCGGCGCGCCCGCCCTCCCACTTAACGTGCCGGGGCGTTGGAAGCGGGGCCGCTGGCTCCCAGGGACGCTGCGACTGCCCATCGAGATGGGCAGCGCTCCTTCCCCGATGGCGGGCGGCAGGGATGCCTTGGCTCCTTGGAGCCACCGCACAGGCTCGGGTTCAGCTGGGCAGGGGCTTGTCAGCTCGGGCTCTGGGAAGAGTGAACAATAAAGCCCGGGGTAGCCACCCCGATCGTGATTTCCCCAGGTCTAATAAAGTGGGGCTCCCCGCCCCCCTCCGTTGGGGGGCGAATAACGGTTTGCAAAATGGGGCGACATGGGCAGAATCTCAGGGCTGTGTGGCCGTTCTTGCACCCCCGTCGATATGACGTTAGTGTGTTTTTTTTATTTGCCAAATTGCTGGTTAGTTGCAAAGCCTGCTTTTGCCCCAGAGCTCGAAGGGATGGGAGGGCCGAGCGCCGCGTTTTGACAGGAGGAAGTGCGGAGGGGCGGAGGGCGAGGAGGGCGTGATCCAGGCTTCCTAGTGTGTGTGCGCGTGTGCGCGCGCGTGTGCCTTCACACGCACCGAGGACCCTGCGTGCACGGTGCGAGAGAAGAATGGCAGGTAGCCACCCGAAACGCCTCGCCCCGGTCTCCTTTCTTTGGGCGAGGTTCCTGGTCCTTGCAAAGTGCGAACAATAGGGAGCTGGGAGGCAGACAGTAGTGATGCTGCCACGGTGCGGGGGGCTGCGCCGCCGCCCTGCGAATCTCCGCGGCCGGGAGGAGGGTTCATTTCAGTTGGGGTGTTTCCTTCCCGGCCTCCCTGGAAGACTCTCGTGTTTGTGCCCACCCTCCCCTCCAGCAGCTTCCCCCTCCCCAGCCCAGGACTCGCGCTGGGGCGCTGATGGACTGGGAGAGGGAAGAAAGGAGAGGGCGCCGCAGAGAGCTGGGTGGGGTAGGCGACATGCGGGGCGGGGGGCGTGTGCTGGGAAGGACCCTCGGGAAGCCGAGCGGAGGGGGTGCCGGGTGCCGCTGGAACTGCCGAGACGGCCGAGCCAGGCCGGGGAGAGCGCGGGGCGGGGCCTGGGAGCACCCAGCACGCCCCCTCCCCGGGAGGCCGGGAGCAGCGCCCGGCTGCCGCCTCCAGCCGCCCGGTGCCTCCCGTGGCGACCAATCAGAGCGAGGCTGGCTGGGCGGGAAGCCGCGAGAGGCTTTTATTGCGGCTCGGCGGCGGCCGGGCGCTGCCAGGACGGTCTCCCGGTGTTCCAGGCTAACGGTCTCGCTCATCCCCCGCCGGGAGGAACCCCGCCCTGCGGCCGGCCCCCTCCTACCCGCGGTTTCCGAGCAAATAAAATGGAGTCTAGGTGGTCACTGGGGGGTGCTCGCTCACTCGGGCGTCTCGAGGCCGAATGGGAGCATCCCTCCCGCCCCCGGCAGCGCGCACACTTGCGCCCAGTCGCTCTGGCTGGAGCGCATCGCCTGGGAGGGCGCGGTGGCCGGGGGACCGACGCGCCTGCGCTGACCAGCCAGCCCCCAGGCCCGGGCCCTCGGTCCCCGCAACCACCTGATTGGGGTATGCTCGCAGCATGCCTTTTCCCTTAGTGCCCCTGGGTCCCCATGGCACGACCTCCGGAAGAGAGGGTGTTTCTGGGACCTCCTCCCTTATAGGTGGGGACGTGACAATGGAGCCCTAATCTTCGGTAGGCCCTTGGGGGGTCGCCAGGCCATTCTTTCCATCATGGCGATGGGTGTAAGGCTGTTTGAACCCCCAGGGAGGGACAGCGACAGCGGTACACGCCCAGGGAATTCCAGGTTAGGATGCTCTCTGCTGCTGAGGCCCGGGTGACACTCAGACCCATGGTCCCTGAAAGGAAAGTGTCCTCATTCCTGACCCGAGGACCAAGCGGATAGGAAGAAGGCAGGACGTGAAACACGCACAGCGTTGCTTAACAAAAGAAGTTGAACGGTTTTCCAAAGAGAAATATTTATTGTTTCTCCCATATTTTTAAAAATTGAAGAATTCCAGTCAAAGGGTCAGCACAAAAATAAAAACAGTAACACACACACACACACACACACACACACACATTTTTGGCCTCACATGTTGTATCATCTCCAGGGACAATGGTAACTCAGTCTCTCTCCATTCCCTGCATTTGACACTTCAGATGCAGGGTGTGCTAACTTAATACACCAAAGAATCAGGTCGGCTGACCCTCTCTTATTTTGGTGTCTTCTGGTCTTTAGGAATACAGTGAAAGGTTGTGGAATTACAGCAGTTCTGGATATTTTCTGGGTTGATTGAATGACCTGGAATGGTTAAGTCATATCTTTGTTTTATAATTTTATAATCTTCTGCCAATTTAACTTGCAAAAGTCAAGGAATGGATGGGACTGATTTTCCAACAAGATAGCATCAGAATTAGAACAAAGAACACCTGTGCTACCTTACAAAAATAGTGGGTGCATATATGATATAGAGGATATGTCATGCCCCTCACCATATAACGGCACGCCTCAGCAGTTTGCAGTGAGCACAATTATGTCGAGCTATATGTTTTCCTTGATTTTCGTTTTAAGATTAGAAATGTGTCTTTCTGGACAAAATTTAACTGAATGCAGTAAAGCCATATTTAAGAATGTGGAAAACCTTTTACAACTCTATCCCAAACCCAAAATGTTAATTTTCCTTCAGCAAATATTAGCATATATTAAAATATTGATAATACCTTACAATTTATTTAAAATTCAGTAGAGTTAAACAAACAGAATATAACCCAGACATTGTGGAAGTGTGGCCTGTCATTAATTTAATAGTGTTTTTAGTTACTCTTCCCAATACAAAGGTTCTAAAGATCTACCAATTGGGATAAGTTTTCATTAGTCTAGCTTACATTTTTTTAAAAAAATCCTCATCTGAAGATATGTTACTGATTTGAGAGAGAGAGAGAGAGAGAGAGAGAGAGAGACATTGATGGGTTCCCTCCCTATGAGCGAGACATTGATGGGTTCCCTCCCTATGAGCCCTGACCAGATCCAACGCAAAAGCTATGTATGTGCCATGACTGGGAATTTAACCCAAAACCTTTTTGATTTAGGGGAGGATGCTCCAACCAACTGAGCCACCTGGCCCGGGCTAAGTCAATTTTTTAAGAAGCTCTCCCCTCCTTCCCCCAATAGATTGAACCTGTTGATTACCATCCACATAACTTTACCCAGGATCTTTTTAAAAATTTTTATTGTTGAAAGTATTACATATGTCCTCTTTTTTGCCCCGTCCACAACCTCCAGTCAACCTCCAACCCCCACCCCAGGCCCTCACCACCCCACTGTCTGCATCCATGGGTTATGCATATATGCATACAAGGTCTTCCTTTGATTAGCTCCTACCCACTCACCCTCCCCCACCTTCCCTCTGAGATTCCGCACTCTGATCCATGCTTCCATGTCTCTGGATCCACTCTGTTCATCAGTTTATTTAGTTGATTAGATTCTATATATGAATGAGATCATGTAATACTTGTCTTTCTCTGACTGGCTTATTATTTAGCATGATACTCTCCAGGCCCCTCCATGCTGCCTCAAAGGATAAGAGATTCTTATTTTTTTTACTGCTGCACAGTATTCTATGGTATAAATGTACCATAGCTTTTTTATCCACTCATCTACTGATGGGCACTTGGGCTGTTTCCCAGAGCTTTGCTATTGTAAATAGTGCTGCTATGAACATAGGTGTGCATGCATTCTTTCTGGTGTTTTGGTTTTCTTAAGATATATTCCTAGAAGTCGGATCACTGGGTCAAATGGAAGTTCCAGATTTAATGTTTTGAGGAAACTCCATTCTGTTTTCCATAATGGCTGCACAGTCTGCATTCCCACCAGCAGTGTACTAGGGTTCCCTTTTCTCCACATCCTCACCAGCACTTGTCATTTGTTGATTTGTTGATGGTAGCCATTCTGACAGGTGTGAGGTGATACTTCATTGTCATTTTAATTTGCATCTCTCTGATGATCAGTGATTTTGAGTATTTTTTATATGTCTCTTGGCCATCTGTATGTCCACTTTGGAGAAGTGCCTATTTAGGTTCTTTGCCCATTTTTTAATTGGATTGTTTGTCTTTTGTTAAGTTGTATGAGTTCTTTATATATTTTGGATATTAACCCTTTATCAGATGTATCATTGCCAAATACAGTGAGCTTTCCCATACAGTGGGCTCTCTTTTAATTTTGTTGATGGTTTCTTTTGCTGTGCAAAGCCTTTTATTTTGATGTAGTCCCATTTGTTTGTTTTCTCCTTAGTTTCCTTTGCCTTAGGAGATGTATCCTTAAACATATTGCTATGAGAGATGTTTGAGATTTTGCTGCCTATGGTTTCTTCTAGGATTTTTATGGTTTCACAACTTACATTTAGGTGTTTTATCCATTTTGAGTTTGTTCTTGTGTATGGTGGAAGTTGGTGGTCTAGTTTCATTTTTTTCAAGAAAAACAATTTTAAATATAATAATATTACATGCAATTAACATTAATATTTCAAGAAAAATATTTTAAATATAATAATATTCCCCAAACTGTACTAATATAGTATAATATCACAAAAGTTGTAGGAAATATTAAAAATCTGCAAATAACAGGATTACTTCTATTATATTCTAAAATATTTTTTCCCTCTGGCTCTATTTTTGTTCATCAGTTTATGTTGTTCATTATATTCCACAAATGAGTGAGATCATGTGATATTTATCCTTCTCCGACTGGTTTATTTTGCTTAGCATAATGTTCTCCAG